GGTTGTCTTTTCCTTCAAGGTAACTTCGTAACTGCAGGCCTGGTGTGATTGCACGGATTACAGCGTCAATAATCTCTGACTCTGGATAGCCTTTGCTGAGCCCACTTTCAATTTGTTTGGCCAGACTAGAAAATGTTAGCTTATCTTTTTGCCCTGGCTCACCTATCTGGCCAGATATCTTAAAATCTTTGCGCCACATGGAGCCATTAGGGGGTGCTGTGGCCATATTCTTTTCTGGCTTGCTGGAACTGGCAGTGGGGTACATGCTTGTTTTCATTAGGTCATACATTGCGTTCTCTTTTTCTTTCAATGACAGCCTTAGCGCCTCTACTTCTTTCTGGAGGTTTTCCTGTAGCTCAGTTTGACTGGAAATTTCATTTTCACTTACGTTTGTTGCCGTAACAATTTTGTCTATTATGTCGTGTACACTTAGGAGGTCTGACATACCCTCATCCTCTAGGTCGGCCAATTCTTCCCGTTCAAGATACTTTATTACATGTGAAATCACTTGACTGCGAGTTTTACCAGTTACATATTCTTTCTCTGGTCCCGAAATCAGCAGTGCATTGCATACTTTAATCAGCTGTTCGACAGTCAACTTGTACAACGCTCCTTTAATCTCCAATTGCAGCTTCTCCAATTCGGACTCCATTTTATCAGAGAGGGCATAAGCAGTAAAATGAGGGTTAATCTGACTTAATTGGCTTTTTTCTGCTCCCTAGTGGTTAATTTTGCTCACTTCAGGATACAATGCGCCAGGTTCATCTGAAAACCACTTCCACCGCCCTGCTGAACTCTTTTTTTCTCTGATACCTGGGTTGTTTGAAGGGATGATCGACGCAAGGACTCCACTTACAGCTCAGGGGTGATCCTCAAGCCAAACATCCCAGCGGTGCCTCCAAATGTTGTGCCCTTAAAAGGGGAAAAATAATGAGAATACAGAAGAAACTCGCACACACGCAGCTCTCGCCTTCACTCGTCTGTATTGAAAGAGTTTTTGAACAATGTATACAAGAAAACATACATTTCAAAATTAGTGCACTCATCAGATTCAGGACCACAGTCACAAGTATCTTATTAATGCATTCTAAATTATCTTTTTATCCAAATTACCATATGAAATGTAAATTGTTTTTAACAAAGTTATCAAATTACATTAATACTCATTTTTTACGTTAGTTCTCACATAACACTAAAATGAATTATACTTTTAACAGTATTCATTGTCTCAAGCATGACACAAACTCACCCTTATAGTGATAAATTCACAATATATCTTACAACAAAAATATATGAATGTCGGTAGCTCACTTAAACACCAAAAATAAAGTTAACACTCATATATAGCGGGACTCGGACACGACGGAGCACGAGGTCTCCGGCTGCTAGCATGACGTGGTCTCTCAGTTAGCACAAAACTCTTTAACGACATGTAAAACGTGTCTTTTACTCAGATAAACCTAACATAATGAAATGTATTCTAATATCAACATGTGTTAATATTTACATTGCTTTTGTGAGTGGTCATTACCTTAAAAGGGGAAAAATAATGAGAATACAGAAGAAACTCGCACACACGCAGCTCTCGCCTTCACTCGTCTGTATTGAAAGAGGAAGAGAAGCGCGCGGAGTCCCCCTACTGCAACCCCAAGGCATTACCAAACGATCAACGAACAATTAACCCATACAGACGAAGATCAGTATTATCTGCATTCAACTTCTTAATATTGCTCTAATTTCTTAATAAAACTGATTTTAAACAGTGATAAAACTTAATACGCATTATATAACAGACTATTTTATATGCAATAATGAATTATGAACTATAACACTCACTTGTCACAGAAGCGCAAAACTTTCTGTTTACAAGCAGAGGAAGACGCGCGCTGTACATACGCGTTTCGATTATCGTATTTTCCGCACTATAAGGCGCACTTAAAAGCCTTTAATCTTCTCAAATACGACAGTGCTGTGTGCCTTACAATCCAGAGCGCCTTATATATGGATCATCTTCTTATACGGTAGGTGGCGGTAATACTCCTAAGCGGTGAGCAGCCGGTAACAAGAAGTAGTCGAATGAGAACGTCCTCGTCTCAAGTTCTCGCGCATGCGTTCTGGAAATCTCTTCAATTCTCGTCTCAAGGCCCATAAGGAAGTAATGGAATAGTGGAATAAAGTCGTTATTTATGTTTTTTTTTTCGCATAAAAAGTGTTCTCGTCGCTTGATAAACTTATAGTTGAGCCGCTGTAGGCACATGGAATATTTAAACCTTTTCTTTAATGACTTTATGGGCCGTCAAGTGCTAGTCCCTTAGGAAGCCTATGGAGGAGTGATCCAGCTCTCAAATTTAATCAAAAATATCTTCATTTGTGTTCTGAAGATGAACGAAGGTCTTACGGGGTTGGTACAGCATGGGGGTGAGTAATTAATGACTTAGTTTTCATTTTTGGGTGAACTAACCCTTTAATGAAAAAGGTGGAAGAGAGGGGGTATACAGAAGGATGGTAAATGCCTCAGGGGTTACTCCACTCTAAAAAGATTGGGAATCATTGTAGCAGAATTCATTTTACAATCAATGAACTTGTTCAATACTCATGTGAATGTGCACACAAGTTTAACTAAATCACGAACATATAACTAGTCTAAACAAAGTCAAGTCACCTTCATTTATAAAGCGCTTTTATTAGTATGGATTGTTTCAAAGCAGCTTTACAGTTATAATAGAAATTACCTTAACAGATTGTTTAGGCTTTATAACAGCATTAGGATAAAGTTATTGTCCAGTTAAAGTTAGCGTATCCTTCTTATGATGTACCAAGTACATCAGGGTTTATGGGAAGTGTTCCCAAGTCCAGCTGATCTAAACTATGCAGCCTAACATTGAATTAGAGAAGTCTATCATGTGTTATGTGTATGCCAGGCCAAAGAGATGTGTTTTTAGTCTAGATTTGAACTGACAGATTGTGTCTGCTTCCTAGACATTATTAGGAAGATTGTGACGGAATATAATGCGTTAAGAGCTCACTCAAGGACTGGGAGCAAAACCATTTAGTGCTTTGTAAGTAATCAACAATATTTAAAAATGTATACAATGTTTAATAGGCAGCCAATGCAGTGTTGACAGAACCGGGCTAATATGGTCATACTTCCTGGTTCTGGTAAGAACTCGAGCAGCTGCGTTTTTAACCAGCTGTAGTTTGTTTATTAAGAGTGCAGGGCAACCACCCATAATAGCATTACAATAATCTAGTCTTGATGTCATGAACCCATGAACTAAAACTGTTCTGCATTTTTAATTGAGAGCATATGACGTAATTTAGAAATATTTTTTAAGATGAAAAAAATGCAGTTTCTAGTTCGGTCTAAATCCTGAAAATAATCAAATAAATAACGAGTTGACAACAACTCTGTCACCAAACGATTCTATCTTGTCTACAAACCACGTTTTGTCACGGAAAAACACGCAATAAATAAATAAATAAATTTGCGCCAATACCCAGCGAAGAAGAGAACACAACACGTGACTATGGACGTCAGACAGAAACTAGTGCTGCACACTGTTTGCGCGACGATCTGCTCTGAGGAAAAAAAAAAAGAAAAAAAAAAAAGAAAAACTACGATTTATTTGGTGTCCTCAACCCATGCGTTTCTATGATTGGCTGTACTCATGACATCACTGAGATTGAGTCGCGCGACGGCTCTGGATATCTTGCAGGCTAGATATTTTTCTTGGCTCGGCGACGCGTCTGCGAGGCGTCTGCGAGCGTTTCGCTGCGTTGTTGGTTCTTTCATACTAACAGATTGGCAAGCGTTCATCGTCCGCTAATCCCCCGCGATTTGCACGCGATAACACCCTGACCTGTCGGCGAGCTCAACGATTTGCAAATCGGGCATAAATCGGGCTTAAAATCCTGTAGTGTGAACTTAGCATAAGCTATGAATATTTCGAATCAAAACATTTCAAACACATTTTCATTATTAAAAATTATTTAAAATATAATTCAATAATCCATATTAACCTTTCAGATTTCCCTTCCTAAATATTAATTTCAATGTTTTTTTTGTTTTTTTTTAATACAACCTATAATATTCGACAGGCAATTTTCTCTTGTATAAATTCACTTCCACAAATTCAATATAATCTCCATCTGCTGTTAGTGTATATATATATATATATATATATATATATATATATACAACCAGGTTGAATTTCACTCCATAAAAATGGATATAAAAATCCAAACATGGATAATGCAATGCATTTTTTTTTTCAATTAGTGACACATTTGGCATTATTTTTCTTCCTTATGAATTTGCAATCAGGTTCTTTAATTAAGAATAACAAACTTAAGTGGTGTACTTACCACTTTGAGGCCCAATGAAGAGGGTGTAATTTCAAGCGGTAATAGTTTCTTTGTTTGGAAGAATCTCATTTGCATGAGATTCCCTTTATACTCTGATTAATATAACAAGTATACAATGCACATTATGAGGAGGTGATCTAAACCAATGGGTAGAGAGTTAAACAAGGATTATTTTGATATGAAGCATGATACCATGAGGGTTACATTATCCAGTAGTTATATCATAATGCATGCAGCAGAATACAATTCAAAAAAGACAATATATAAAACATTAATAATACACATAATGTCCTGAGGATTTGCATGTTCATTAATAGAAAGATTTGTCTATGAATGAATGGATAGAAGTGTGTTTTGTGTTTCTTCAATGGTCTGCGATGCTGCATGTGACTTCATGATTTGCATCTGTGCATGAACTTCTGATTGGACCTTTGGTCTTGAGGGGGAGTCTTACAACTCAAGTGGATTATTTATTAAATATAACAAATAATTGTGTGTCTGATCTGTCCAGCCGCTACATAATACATAAATAATATTACAATATTCATATTTATTATATGTGTATAATATATGACATATTTACTGGTTTCTGGTACATGTTAGAAAGTGATGTGTGAAAGGTGACGTTTCCACAGGTTCTGGCAGCGTTTTCTGTGGGAATCCACTACAGGTTGTTCGAGTACGAAGACAAAAAACAAAGGTGAATCTGTTCATACTGATCCATATACTGTACATGAAGCTTCAACAGCAATACAATTGGGTATTAAAGACATCGTGAAAACATTTTTTTTTTCCATCTGCTCAGCTCAGAACACCACAGCTCAGCAGTTACGTTCCTGAACACACATATAGCTATGAAGAGTCGAGCAGTGAGGACCGTAGTGGTGTTTTTGCTGAGCTCAGAAGCTGGAGGATTGAGCACAACAAGTACTGAAACTCCAACACACACACACACACACACACACACACATGTAGAATGATAGAATGTGATAGAATGTACACTGCATTGACTTCCGACAGACATCTGTTGGCTTTTGAGGACCGGCAGCCGCAGGTAATGAGAATCCACCACAGTGATGATGACTATGATGATGAAGGTAGCCACAATCATAGTTTCAGCAGTGATGACATCACTAAAGACAGAACTGTCTGCAGAGACACAAGCTCTCCTGATTCATCCGTTCAATCTCCCTCACCAGGTAAGTAACATTATTCCTCTCACATATTAAAGGAGTAGTTTACTTTTAAAAAAAAACTTTTGCTGATAATTTACTCACCCCCATGTCATCCAAGATGTCCACGTCTTTCTTTCTTCAGTCGAAAAGAAATTAAGGTTTTTGATGAAAACATTCCAGCAGTTCAAGGTCCAAAAGACAGTTTCAGTGCAAACTGTTCAAAGGGCTTTAAACGATTCCAGACGATGAATAAGGGTCTTATCAAGTGAAACGATCGCTCATTTAAAAAAAAAAAAAAAAAACAAAGTTTAAGTTTTATAAGCACAAATGCTCACCTTGCTCTGTTCTGCGATGCACGTTCGTGACTCTCCTGTTCGAACTCTTTCATCAAAATGAACAAATCTTTTTCCGAGTCAATTTGTTCGTTTCGTTCTTTGAATGAACCAAATGACTCTGAAAAAGATTTCATTTTGATGAACGAGTTCGAACAGGAGCGTCACAGAACAGAGCAAGGCGACCATTTAAGCTTATAAAACTTAAACTTTGTTATTTATTTTTTTAAATGAGCGATTGCTTCGCTTGATCAGACCCTTATTCATCGTCTGGAATCGTTTAAAGCCCTTTGAACAGTTTGCAGTTTGCACTGAAACTGTCTTTTGGACCTTGAACCATTTGGTTCCCAATGTTCTCCATTATATGGAGAAAAATCCTGGAATGTTTTCATCAAAAACCTTAATTTCTTTTCGACTGAAGAAAGAATGACATGGACATCTTGGATGACATGGGGGTGAGTAAATTATCCGTAAAAGTTTTTTCAAAAGTGCTCCTTCACTGATCCTCATGTGTTTCTTCACGTCTATTTTTTTTAATCATGTGCCTCTTTCTCACAGAATGTCTCGAGATGTTGAGGCTAACGTCTTCATCAGGCTGTTCCATGTCTCCCTCACCGCCAGTCTCTGCAGCAGCTCCCCCTGCTGGCCGGAGGATAACACAGACCCGCATCAGGAGACTCAGACCTCATTCTGCTGACATCAGTAAAGCCAGACCCTCAGAGGAGACTCCTGGGCCTGATCTCAGAAACCTGTGTCCCCACAGTATTATGACTGTATCATCTCAGACTGTGTCTCCTCAAGTACTCCACAAACCTCATAGGCCCTCTGCTAGTCCTGCGGTCTCCCCTCTCAGAGCGCAACGGTATATTCCCGTCAATCATATTTGTGTGGACTATTACTTTAACAAAGGCATTTCTGACTACAATATATTCTCCCAATTTAGGTCAGAGGATACTAGGAATCATCAATACTCGGACATCCAGCACAAACCAATAACACTCCCTAACACGTTTCCAAAACTGACACCCAGACGTCCACAAACAGCCAACGCTGCCCTGCAGAGGCTTCCAGAACCAAACCTCCTGCCCACTCGAGGAAACACACACTGATGGATTGTGGGTCAGATTAGGTCATCTTTTCACCACAGGTTTACAGGGTTTCAGAACCACTGTAATATCTGTAGAAGTTGTCACATACATTGCTGAATCATTAGGGGGCGCCATTTCCATTATGATAAATGCTTGTTTTTCTCTGCTTTATTTTAGATGTATTCCATGTTAAATTGACAGGAGAGTGTCTTGGTCCATATTCGTCCCCCGATATTATGTGAACACTAATACAGAGAAATAACACTGTAAGTGTCCCATTGTTGATGTTAATGTCAGAGGACTTTCAATCATGTTTTCCTGTTGTGGATCTCTAGCAGCGCAGCATCCACATCTGTCAGATTCCTAACATGTCTGGTCTTGCAGGTACAGTGTGTGCAGACTCAGAGTAGACGCAGGTGCAAGACTGTTATTCCATATGTTTCTGAAATATTTCCCAGCGATGATATGTCAGATAAGTGTTGTTCTAAGATATAATTAGCCTGTCAATAATTTCCACATGGTCTAAGTTTTTTAAGCATTTTGGACAGTATTTAGGTTTTCTAATATTTTTTTAAACATGGTTTTTCAGTGTACATCCAGATATATAACGTAATGATAAAATAACTAAATCAAATAAACATAAAATGGCTAAAATACAGTAAGAAATTTGTTGGAGGGTTAGAGCTAAATATCAAAAGCTGATTGTTAATAAAGGCAAATGGAGAATTAAATTAATTGGTCTTTTTTTCAGTTTCTCTGCTCATCTCATTTTGAGTCCAGCATAGTGTGACAAAGTGCATATATATATATATATATATATATATATATATATATATATATATATGGATCTATGATAAAATGTGGCAGTTACATTTCAGTGAATATACACCTACAATAAACAACAAATATTACAATACATTTTGTTGTATTTACAACTATTTCGACTAAATAAACAATTGTAGGGTGGGGAAAACAATCAGTGGCTTTTTTGTTGACATTATGCGACAACATAATGTGGAACAACATAATTAGAACACAACAATAAGTATTAATGTTTTTTTCTTTTTTCAATTTAAAAAATGGCCTCTTTTTTCATTCTCGTTTATTTTAAAATGGCCTCTTTCTTTTTTTCTTTCTCGTTTTATTTTACTGTCTAGTTTGTGCTTTTTGTTTTGCGCTATGGTGTTGGTGAAGTGTTTTTTTCTTTATGCTTCTGTTATTCTTCAGTAGCCTACTTAGTGTGAATTGTCATGTTCTGAGTGCTTTTGTGTTAAGATAATATGAAATTGTAATCTAGTAATGTTTTATCTTGTGTAATACCAAAAAATAGGTTTACAATTTAAAAACTTGCATTTATGAATATAAAATCTAAAGGTTTCAGCAGAGAGATTAACAATATCTTTCCAAAGTTGCAGAGTAGCATATTACACAACCTGCAAATAACTGCAAATGAAGAGGAGGTTTAGTGTTTTTTTGACAGGAATTTTTTTTTTTTTTGACAGGGTAAATATTATGAATTAATTTAAAATATACTAGTTTACTTTGTTTGTGAGGAAAACCTTTGTTATATGGACCATATATTTGTTTCCATAATCAATAATCATTTGTCATTTGTTCAATAATTGTTTCAATAATCAAAAAGCGCATTCCAATATGAGACTGTGGAGGGGCAGAGACAATGTTCTCGAGGAGTATAACTCTTACTTTAGAATTTCTTCCTTTTTTGGCCCAGTGATATGTGTGTTGACAGGTTTAGGCGAAGGTAAACCTAAACCCAAAGAGAGAGTTTTATTTTTGAAAGGTATGAGTATGCCAGAAGCAATAGCATCCATACCTGTGGTAAACTCTTTAGGAGTTACAGGTAAATTATATTCTGAAAGAAACTGCATACCTAAAAGCAATCCTTCGTAATTAAAGAGTTATCGACGCGACGCACGCACAAACTTTTTTGATTGGTCGACTAGCGTTGACGTCACGATTCCATCAAGCGTGCGTTGCGTTCACTCACAGCACAGACTGGTGAGACTGGGACTGGAGAGTTGTTGTGAATTTGTGTGGCGTCGTGTCGCTTTATAAGTGTACACACACACACAGTGTCCTTCAGCAGTATTGGACGAAAAAGTGCGGGAAAATGCATTGCGTCAGTGGTAAGTATATGTATATGCACATTCTTAATTTGGTAACATGAAGTTTGTTTCGTTGGAAGCAATGTGTCTTTACAAAACAAACCTCCTCCAGTAAAACTCTCCTGACGCTTCTGGTTGTCATACCACTCATACGTCACATGTCCATATGGTTAAAATGATGAATTCCACATGCTAGGAAACATATCCACTTCACACATCCACTAAATTCAACGTGACACCTGCTGGGTAATAAATACTGTAAAAAGAAAGAAAAAAGGAGGCTCGGTCAGTTCTGAGAAAAGATGCAGTATTTGTTTGTATCTATGTATCTAATGCAGTGACATTTGATATTAATTTATTGTTTAGGAAATTGAATTACACGGATTTCTCTGGACCAGTGTTAACCATGCTCTGCTCATCATCCATCCACTTAATCCGTTAACATTGGAAAATACAGCAGACTAAGTGTAAATGTAACCAGTGCTGAGGTAAGCAAGAGAGGTATATTATTATAACTGAATTGAATGCCTGCTTTATGTGCAGAAAACCCATCACTGTCATGGAGCTTATTTGTGGTAATGGAAGCAGTGTCTTGTTGGGATGTGATGCTTTGAGTCATGTCAGTTGTGCAGTCATTACTTATATCTGTGACAGGTGAGTCATGAAGCAATTATATGATGATATGATGTACACACACAAGATGAAGTCTCTCCTGTCGTCATTTTGAAGGCACACAACCAGACTGAAACTACTAATCTTATCTCTGTAATTACCCCTTTTATTAGATCCATATGGTTGCAGAATAAATTATATGATGGGTGACAAATTCAATAAAATATGGTATTTTGACAATGCTTATTATAATTGAAAACTTTTCGTTTTACATGACGCTTCATCCATGTCAGTAGAGAGTTCAAAATAACGGCGATATTTATTGCTCAAGGTGGTTCCAAATGATCTACCTTGAGTTTTCAATTTAGAAAGTAAAATTTGGTGTTCAAAAAATGTAAAGTTTTGACAGTCTGATCAAATTATAAGCCAAAGCCAGAGATGTACAAAATCATGGTTATTATAATTATAATTCACTGTGAGTTTGATCGACAATTTGTCTGACCGATCATAATGCTGAATCAGCAACAACAAACAAACCAGACAGGAGAGTTAGTAGATTAATATTTGTGAACTTGAAAAATAGTGTGTATTGACATCTTTTCGCGGTTGAAACAATGTTCATTCATGTTTATTATGTGCTATAACTTGTAGGTAGTGATGATCAGTTCACGCGCCACTTGCCTTGAACTGAGGCATTACAGTGATCTGTCACGCCACAAAAGAGTATTGTTTGAATTTCTTAAAAAATTTGAAAGCTGAGACTTGTTTCATATCAAAAGTAACCTGCTCTGTTTTGTTGGTGAATTCTTACTGCCCTCTTTGCTCCGTGTTGTTGGTTTTTTCTCACTGCGTGAGAGGGATATGGCTTGTCGGACATAGCAACAGTAACTAAGGAGGCAGGTCTTTGCGAAGGGTCTATTACTTGTGTGTTTTGTTGTCAGGCTAAAAATGGCTGATTAGTTTGAACGCACTGCATTGTGGGATATAGCATTCTGTTGAAATGTGTTGTATATTACAAGTAGTGGGTCATCGTGTAGTCTGAGACTGTGTACAGGAAACTCGTGTACAGTATTATATACTGCAGAAATACTGCAAGTATTTTGAACATATTTGTTTCATAATTTCTTGACGTTAGACCAAGCATTTATTCTGGCGGGTTGTAATGAAGAATTTTGAGTTTCTGTGTGTTTATTATTATTTGAAGAAGTACACTCTACGGTGCAATAGTAATGTTTTTTTTGTTTTTTTTTTTAAGTTAAACCGAACATTTATTTTGATGGGTTGTCGTGAAAACCTTTACATTTCTGTGTGTATATGCAATAGTTTTATCAAGTAAAATGCTGGTGAGTAACTTTCAGATCAGCTCTCAGATGAAGTTCACGCGTTCATTTCCTCAAGTAGTGAGGCAGACGCTGAAAACATGAGTGTCACACGTCCTTTGGTGTGTGGCTGCGTCCAAAACCGCATACTCTCTTGAGTACTGTTGTATATAGTATGAATGTGTGTAGTTAAGATGTCATCTGGACGCACTACATTTGCCATGTTGTCATTATCATGTGACCTACCAGCTTCAGTTGCGTTGCTTCACTGCCATTCATTAATCCTCTCCTGTGGCCTCATGGGATGGTAAAGTGTCCTTCGGATTTTGCGTACTCTTTTATGAGTACTGTTAATTCAGACAGACACACTTCTTTTTGTCACATACTGTTTTTCACCTACCATATCGTAGTGAAGAGAGGCCCTGTCCCAAATGCCACACATCATGTGCATTTGTAGCTTTTATGTTTGCATTAAGGTTATGAATAAGCTGGTTTGTTCCAAAAGAATGATAAAATTTGCATAATTTGCAAATTTTGCACCACGGACTTCAGCTTCTCATTACATCTTGTCCAATTAAATGCTCTCTAGAATCTAAAGGCCTGTTCACACCGGGACGAATTTCGCACGCGATAGTCACCAACGTTTAACGGCTTGTGTCTAAACAAAGGGCGCCAATGTGAGTGTGCACACCGACGCGTAAAACGCCACACGTAAAGGCGTCATTTTTTTTTAAACGCCTCAGGTTCGTTTTTTGAATTTGACGCGCCGCATCTAAAACTATCCGACCAATGAGATTGGCGCTTTTGCTCACGTGTTTGGAGCTTAAAGTTACAGTAAAACACAGCTTGGGGGCGCTCAAACACAAAACGGTCTTGCCGAGCACATATACGTAACGGCGAAGAAGACATGCGGCGAGTAGCGTTGCCGTCTACACTGCCAGGAATAAATAAGACGAGGAAGATGCAAGGCTAGATAAATGTAGAGCTGCTGTTCTCGTTGGTGCTCGAATATAAACAACTACATGACAAACGTGTCAGGGACTACAAACATCTTGATAAAAGAAAACTGATATGGAGTGGTATTGCATGGCAGATGGGCGCCATCTAATGTCAGGGAATGAATTTGCATGTTCACTCGGCTCATCGTCAGTGAAAATCGCTAGGGTGTGACTGTGAACACAAAAAACGTGTTAAAAAACGCTGACGAATAACGCACCCTGATATAAACCACGCTATAAACCACCTGGCCAAAGCGACCACTGACACGTCAGGAGCATAGACTGTAAAAAAAAGATGGACGACGCCCCTTCACTCTCTTCCATTGGTCAGAAGTGAGGCCGCCAGTATCCCGATATGGTGCTGATACCTTGGAACTTGAGTCTGCACAGAAGCGATCTCGGGACCAGACATGCGCAGTCGTGAACAGGAAGTAAAGTCGCGAAATCAAGGCCCCGCCCTCACTTTCGCAGAATCAATCGCAAGCACACGCTCCTGCACTTTTTTTTGATTAATTATAGAATTTAGATATTAAATTTAGCTCCAATCTCCTCAGTCCTCTGAAGATCCTGAAAAAAAGTCTACTTCGCTCACAGAACCTGTCAATCACAGCTGTCAATCATGACGTCACCACCACCGCAACTAAAAACAAACTTATTTTAAAAACAAACACTTGAAATTTCATCAGCGTGATAAAAACTACAGTAAAAACAGAAATCATTTTTGGAAAAACGAATATATGATATTTGAAGTGTAATTTAATTGTTTAGTTGGTCTCACGTGCTGTTGAATAACATGAGGAGGCGGGGTTCATTACCTATAGGCTACTTGGACTGGCAACTTTATTATGTTTTCCAACTGTACGTTGGTTAATAATGAAATGTCTAGAATTTATTCACACCTTTACTATTGAATCAAACGTATCATCAGCACTGGGATTCGCTTCCATGATGCAGTCGAGTGCGACTCGCAGTCTGTGAGGGGAAACTAAACGTTATTGGCTATTTGAAAAGGGGGAGGAGCCATTCAATATGTCTCACCTTAACTTCCTGTTTTAGTGGAAATTACGTAAAGGCATCAAACAAAGCTGTTCCAAGACACTTCAGTGGGACTTTAAGGTTACAACACCGAGGGTGTCCCATTTGTCATTTTAGTTTTCGGAAGCGATCTGGTTTGAAAAAATAAGCCCAAAATACACGACCCCTGGTTTCAGATAAATGTGTATTTAAAGTTTTACATGAAAAAAAAAATAAATAAAAAAAAAAATATATATATATATATATATATATACATTGGCTTCTTTAATATCATGACCAATTGCTGTTTTCACAAATTATCAAATTATCAAAATAACCATTTTACTCTGGAACAATTGAAAGGGGTTTTGTATCAGTTTTCTGTTTTGTACAACCCTAATTTTGATTTATTCATCTAAAAAAGGGGCAAAATCCCTGACATTTCTCAAGTTCCATTTGTGACTGGATTCGATCCATGTTTTCTGCATTGCAGAAATCATAAGGCTCACATGGTATTTTCTATATGGCGGTATTTAAAACGCACATTGTGCGTGAAATTGAAACTGGCATACAGCCCAGCACAACTACGTTTCCAAACTATTGGCAATGAAAAATGGACATTTTTCGCCCACAAAATTTTGTTGAAATTTTGCTAATGTGATGACAATTTTATTGATTGCACATTATGTAATTTGTATTATTTCTGCAGTCATAATATATCTGTTGCAATAGCATTCCTTGCACGCCCTCCTCCCCAAACGTGATTTACCATGTTCTTTCTGGATGGAGTGGGCCAGTTTTTGGCGGACATGGGAATCAAAAGTGTCTGTCTCTCCTCCTGCAAAACCTCTTCAGTTCACAGTGACTCATCTGTCCAGCTGCTAGATGGATCGAGAACAAAAAGAGCTTATGTACCATCTGGAGATAGCGCATACTTCTTCACATCTCACACACGTAGGCTTAGCTATTCCTCATGAGTTATGCCTCCACTTTACATTCTCATGAGAGAAATATGTTGGGAATTACCACTTAAAGTTCCTGAAACACAAATCTTTAATTACTGCATTTATGTTTTCATTATGTTACACATTCTAATTTATCGAATTCGAAACAGGGCAGTTCAGAAGAAAAAATGAATGAGCATCGCTAAATAATTTGATGTGACCCTGGACAACAAAAGCAGTCTTATGTGTCCATTTTTTAATTTGGCTGAGATACAACTATTTGAAATTGGGATTCTCTGGGTGGGTGCAAAAAAAAATCGGTAATGCTTCCTTTTACAATACAGTACTTAAACTGTCAATGGTAAAACTAAACTGTCATATGGTAAAACCCTTAAAAACCAAATTATATTTATGAAATAGTAATTCATATTTGTGGAAATACCTTTTTAATTTGAAAAATATTTTTAAAAATGTGTAATGGCTTTGTGTGACATGCATAGAAATTGTTGACATACGGTTTAACCTTCAAATGGTCTTCGATTCCATTCGAAATTCGGTCATTTCTGTGTTAATTTTCAGATTTATGCCGGATTTTTTTTAA